CTTTGTTGTTTCAGCAACATTAAATTTAAAAACTGTACATTTGAGTTAAAATATATATTTATAATTTTAATAAATGACAAATTAAAAAAGCATGAACATTTTTTTGTATCAAAAAAATATCGAACCGTAACACCAAAGTATCGAACTGAACCGTGAATTTTGTGTATGGTTGCACCCCTAATATTAATACTGCGCAGATGCAGGGGAAGGATTATTTACTCTTGTGGGGCAAAACGTTTAATCAGAGATTTCCAGATAGACAAAGCTGCTTCTTCCAGCTCCAGCTGATGATTCTAACCTGCAAAGAGTTTAACACATGCTGTGACTTGGAAGTAACATAATATTGAAACAATGACCGATCCACACTTACCAAACCACAAAGCCTCTGTTGATGTTCTGTACCTCCTCTGGGTCTGAGGTCAGATTATATCACTGATGGCTGGATAAATATTTTAAGAACTTGTGTGGTCAGTATTGTGAATCACTGACTTCAAATGTACATTTTGTACACGCAAACTATTGGAGACACCAAAACAGTAAACGTCAGAAAGCGAGATTTACTACAGCACTGCTCTTTGCATTAGTTAGCTATAAACTGCACAGCTAATGTAAGTCTACTTCTCCTGTAAGGTCCTTCAAAGGTACCACAATGTTGTAAAACGGGCCAAATCTGAATTAAATAATGGATTTAAAGCAGGATTACTTGGATATATGTAAAATACAAAATATTTAAATTAGACCTATTAATCATACTCATTTTTACTTTCTTTCAGATATATTCAGAGGTTATGTACTAGTATCTCTGGGTTAAGGTTTTCAGACTTATTTAACTTTTCCTTTCCTACTGTTAATTTGTCAGTCTAATTCTAAAACCTTTTAAAGTTTTTTGTTTTTTTAAACTAGATTTAGGCCATTGGTCTGGAAATACATGTATTCATTTGCATTGGGATGACATCATCACAGTGATGTCATCTCCTAATATGGGAATTTAAGGCCCAGAAGCCCCACCCATCTGCTGTTCTGTTTTGGAGGGGCAGCCAATCAGAAGACAGTTGGTTCAGATGGATAGGATTCAAAATAGAGGCTGAACTGATCCTGCTAGTACAACAATGAGGATTATATTTAACTGTGAATCATCCGAGCTACTCTAGTGCAATCCAAGAATGACTTTTGGAGATGACAATGAGCATACCAGATCACCTGTAATTATTCTATTTTGTCTGCCACCCTGAACTGGATAAGCAGAAGAAAATGGGTGGATGGGCTTTTGTCTGCAAGACTTTTTTTTGTTTGTTTAATTTTCTTCACAATACCTACAATTCCCCATAAAGTTCAGACTCAACTTTTTAACTTTTAAACAAAGTGTCCACACAGATGGAAGCATATAATACACGATAAGTTTTAATTTCCTCATAAAAGTGTTACATCTCTATGCAAAGCAAACATTTCAAAAGATGCAGCCCCTGACTTAGCTTCAGCTGCTTTGCTGGAAATGTAAAACTCTTAAACAAGTCGAGGGAGTTCATCTTTAAAATGCAGAAACTTTGGCAAACTTACTTGACATTATTCAGACTTTTAAACCCTGATAAGCACAAAATATATCCTCCGCTCTTGCTCTGTCTGTGCTAACGATCCCATGTAATAATCAAAAATATAATATTACAACACTTTATTATTAAAATTAATGGTTCGATTTCTATACAGCCATAACAATAAATAGCGACAATGAAATTAGAGAAGCAGCTTTTGTCTGCCTTAGTGTTGCAAACTGGATGTTAAAGGGCCAGTTCACCCATATATTCTCTCACAGGTCTAAAACTTGTGTTGAGACAGAGATGGCTCATAATCAGGTTAAAAACACTTTTGTAAAATGCTAAAATGTGACCAAAAAAAGAAAGTTTAAAAACTTTTTCAAGAGAGTTTGAAAAGAACGAGAGAATCGCAGTGTTAGGTTTACATTTGGCAAAAAAATGAGCCAAAATAGAGAGATTCCTATATATCCACATGTCATTTTCATTTCTTCTACTCTGAGATCTCTATGATGTCAGTAAGAAGGGGTAACTCTAATATTCTCTTACTGACTTACTGATACTAGAACATAATGGGTCCACTTTGAAAAAATTACCCAAAATACAGAAAAACTAAAAGCAGTTCAAATGACAGACTGTTTTAGGTACTACGATATGCAACTGAGAATATCATAGTTTTAAATTTTTGGGTGAACTTTCCCTTTAACATAATCAAAAGAACCAAATAAAGGGCAGAAGCTGCAGGTGCGTCACAACAGATGGCAATTGTTTTCTTTAGTTTGTGGGTTTGCTCCTGCACTGAGCAGCTCGATGAGTTTTTCCTCTCGGCACCATCTGAGTTTGTTAGCGGCTGGAAGTTCTGATCATAGTCCGGCTCTTTTACCACATCCACATGAATCCAAATGACACCAAAGTTCCTTTAAAGTTCCCAGAAAGTGCAAAAACTTAAGCAGGTGTTAGAGGGAGAAGAAGAAGAAAGGGAGCTGTGGGGCATCCCCTGCATTGCTACTGCTTCTACTTTGATTACTCCCAGTTTCATTTTAGATTAATTGATTAATCAGATTAAAAAGCCACAAGGTTTAGGTTAATCCAGCCTGGGGTCAGCTGCACACGGCCAATATGCAAAGCACTAATTTTGTATCTCATCGTTCTTCCGTTGTACATGGTGCTTGGGTTGTCTCTGGCTGACAAATCAGCTGTGACTAAATATCTGAAACCACAAGTCTCTTAAGGGGACTCCATTTAAAAGTCATTTTTCATAAATTTGACCCTCATCACTGTGAAGAGTCACACATGAAGACATTTTTCTGGCTTTGACACAAAATATAACTTTGTTTTCTCCAACCAACAAGGACAACAGCAGATATTTTAAAATCACTGAACGAGTCGGAGGTGTTGCCGGTGATTCAGAGACCTGGGACCGGGCACTAAAGAGAAACAAAGATTTCTGTTGTTTGTTTGTTTTTTAAATCTAGATATCTGTGTGGAGCTATGGCACAAGATTACGTTCAGCTGGTAAACTAAATGAGTCACTTTTCAGTCCTCAAACCTCCATGTGTGCAGTTGTTCCAGCTCTCTGAGGATGATGGGAGGATTACCAGAAAGAAGGGGTACCAGGAAAAAGTAATAATAATAAAAGGTTGGGACTTTGTAAGGCATCAGTGGGCGGAGCTGGAGCAAGGCAGATGATCTCCATGTCACGCCTCAGTCCTGAACTCCGCCCTTCTTCTCTTGGCGCCTCCTGAAGTTTTAAAATGTCGACCCGCCACAGATGATGTTCTGGCCTCGACCCGGAAAGAGCTCCATCTGCCAGTACCGGGGGTCAGCGTACACTGTGCAGGTCAAAGGTCATAGGGGACAACAAATCATCAATAGGTGCTCAGTGTGGCTTCAGCAGCCACACAAAACATTAACTGCTTTGATTTTAATTTGTCAGATTAAACATTATTTATTAATGTTTAATTTGACAAATTAATCATTAATGAATTAATAAACTATATAAAGTCCTAACAACAAAAACTATATTTTAACTTTTTTTTTTTTTTTTAAATATCTGTATTTCATCTGCTGTCCATGTGTAAAAATGTGCAGGTGCAGCAGGTGTTACCCATGTCTCCCGGTGTCAGCCACAGGTTGAAGGAGCTGCAGTGTTTCTGGCAGCGCTGAACGGGCAGAACTCGAACAGTTGGCAGCCCCTCGCCCACCACCAGCCAGCCCAACACCCTGACACCCTGAAACCCAAACGGCAGCTTACAACAAAGAAAGCTGAAAGGTGTGTTTTTGTAGTTAAATATTATCGAGGACAAAACATCACTGAGGCGCTACAATCACAACTGCACAACCTCAACACACTTCAGCTGGTTTAACTTAATACTAACAATAATAATAATCCATCATTTTTCTTTATTTTTACCGTTTTTACCGTTTACTCTCTGCATCCATAACGATAATTAGCGTGGTGTTTGTTCTGTGATTGGAATATGAACAAATATGAACACAGTTGGACTCACCTTGCTCTGAGAGTTTGTGCTGTGGGTGACCAGGCAGCGCTGCAGGATGGTCCCAGCGCTGTCCAGCAGGGGGCAGAGCTCAGCCTTCGGGAAGAGCCACCTCAGCACCTTCTCCCTGGTCCCAGAGCTGAACCGCCTACAGGGACAGAAGTAATATGCACAACTACAACCACACATAGACTGTATCCAGATATAATTAATGGTCACAGTGATGTCAGCTATTGGTTTTTAACGTCCAGTTTTAGGGTCATAGGGTCAGCGATCTGACAATTACAAGGCTGGCTCGCTCTAAAACATACTCTAGCATAGGGTGGACTTAACTTCCTCTTTTGAATGTAATTGAGACCACAATTTACGAAGGTCAAAGATCACAGGGGTAGTACAAAGATTTGTCTAAAAGTGTAGTAAGTAGACTTTTTACAGGTAGATGTGTTGCACCCAGCATTTTATTTATTACACAGTATGCGTCCGCATGTAGATGTTTTAGTGGCACAACAATCTGATTCACACTAGCACTGATTCTGACCTCTTCAAGTATTAAATTAGTAAGTATTTTCCAGTGGTTTGGGTTAGTACTTAGCAAATGGAGCACTACTTTAAAAATGCTAAGTACCAGAGCAACGTGAAGTTGGCAGGTCCCTGAGGGAGGCCGAGATTGTGGTTGTGCAGACCGTCCTCCTCTTCCAGCAGAATGGACATGGAGCCCGAATGAGCCAGGTAGAGCTCCTCGAGCTGCTGCCGCTGGACGCTGAGGGACTCCCCGCCCTAGAGAGAGCAGCATGGACAAATGGAAATAAAGATGAACAAACTGTTTTGTTTTGTTTTTTATTCAAACTGAAGATTAACTGTCAACTGTTTACAGGGCATGTGATTTTACAGGTCTGCTGTTGACTTTTTCCTAGTGTGACAAGTGTCTTACACACATTCTTTATCTCTTGAGATGTGTTTGAGCGGCTCCCACAATATGCATGTGCCATTTGTTCAGCACAGTAGATGCAGTTATCATGATGATCTTAAGTTTTTCAAGTGTTTGTAGTAATAAATAAATAAACACATTCTTTGGAAAGAAAAATGCTCACGTGCACATTTCAGAAAGACAGAGGCTACACTAATAACAGAGCCAAAAATTAAACAAGTTAAATCCTTTAAATGGCACCACTGGCACACACGGTGGTGTTTACAGACATTTTAAACAGGTTCTCTATTAGGAGTATGACACAAGGCTCTTTAGATGGCCACCGTGACAGCGTTGACCTCTGACCTTCAGCAGGACAAGCTGAGGCCCTCGTCGCAGAGTGACAGTCCCTCTGAGGCTCTCAGGGACTTCCAACACTGAGGAAATCTCCGCACAGCCTGAGCAGTTGACAAGATTTTGCCTGAGAGCGCCGGCGCTCCACCACTCATGGAAACCTGCAGCACACAAATAAACACTTAAGAAATGCATACTTACAGTCTGGTCTGAAACAAACAAACAAACAAGCTTTGGGCTCTAAGGATAGCTTCATTCTTGACAGAGCTGTTAGTGCTGTGCTACTGGAAAGTGAATTTCCCAGAGGAACCCACCCCAGGGGTTAATAAAGTTTCGTCTAATCTAATCTAACTGCATGGGTTGATTTTTTTTTTCTCCTAAATAAGTCACCTGTTTGGATTTCTTTTAAAGACCTACAGTCTGACGGATGAGTGTTTCTCCTTTTTGGTTTCAGTTTTTTTCTCAAATGGAGAACAAGTTTACGGAACAGTCATGTTTGCTGCTGCACACAAACGTCAAATTTAATCTAAACTGAAACGTCAAATATCTTCTGGATTGGCACATCCCAACTACAGCTCTCTGCTGAAATGAATCGTGCAATCCTAGGACTTTCTCGTTAGTAGGAAACGTTGGATTTTGTTTGTGTACGCATGTTTGCGACAGAACAAAAACTGAAACAATTCACACCTTGCAGGTTGTACTTCTTGGCGATGGGTAGGGAGAGTAGGCGGACGTGGCTGAGAGGGGACGACCAGTTATAGCAGCCCAGATTGACCAGTCCCAGCTGGGGAGCATTCTGGGGGTAGGTGAAGGCCAGCACCACCACCAGCAAGAAGCCAACAGCCACCACAAACTGAAGAGACAACACAAAGACTTTGCAACTCAGACAAATGTCTCCTTTATCAGGTCAGCACATGAATAACCGTCTGTGAAGCGTAAACCTATTTTAGAGCAACAAAAAGAGCTGAGTCTTCTACAAAGTAAACTTATTGGATTTTCACACTTTAAATCTATCTTAAAACAGTCTTTCAAACTAATTACCAACACTACTGAACTAAAATTAAAACTAAGCCTCTCTATGTGTCAAAGGTCTTCAGTATTAATCTGTTTCAGCAATGTAGTAATTTATATGTGGACCTTGATGGTGGCTCTTAGGATGGGAAACTGTGGGGGCTCTCTTCTGGGCTCGTTGGTCTCCAGGACCTGCTTGATGAACCTCTCGATCTCCCTCTCCGACATCCCGTAGCGGTAACCCGACTGACGGAGGATGTCGATGCTCTCGGACAGTTTATCATAAATACACGGCTCGCTCATCGTTGTCCCCATGATGGCGGCAGTGGCGACAGCTTTTTAGTCAAACGTGTCGATTTTCAGTTGCTAAAGGCTCTTGGAGCATGGCGTCACCTGTGAAATAAACCAAGGGGTCAGCTGACATGTCACAGCTTTCAGCACTAGCAAGTTACCATCACTGAAGGTGCAGATGATGTGGAAATACTTCTATGTTTAATCTGAATGCGGCTGAAGGTTGCCCTCTTGGCTACTCACACGAACATGTTTGTTCTTCCAGACACTGTCACAAACCTTTCAAATGAATTTCTGGCTTTCATAACTAAAACATATTTTACAATATCATCCTTACTATCATCTTGATTTGTGAGATTAATACGGTGGATTTATTATCGTCATGCACAGTTGCAAAAATTATTTGACTTATTAGATCAGCTCTGCATGACTCTCAAAAGGTCCAGTACAAGTCTCATCTTGTACTTTACAAAAACTACTATAGAGCATCATTTATTAATAAACTTAAATAAAATGGGGGTGCACCTTCTTTCACATAAAAATGCATACACTGACCAAGCCACAGCTTTTATTGATTTTTAAGAAGCTCGGTTGAGATCATCTGTGTGCCAAATTCTCTTGTGTCAGTTCTACACGGACTTTGGCATCAGTTACAGATAACTTTGCAAAACAGCCCTGTTTTGATAACATGAGGTTAGTGGCAACATTTACATTTGCAGCACTCCAAAAATGCCCGTTAAGAATGTTGCATGTATAATTTTTGAACTTCTTTTTCCTGACAGCAAGAATTAAAAACCCCACAGTGACAAGTACTTCTTTTACCATTCATTTCAAATGAAGGGTATATGATCTCTAAAGTCCTGTTCACAGACTTTAGAGATTTTGAACATTTAAATAGATTCTCTTCACTATTTACTTGTGTATTTGTTTGTTTGTTTATTGCTATCTGATCATAATAAAACAAGTGGTTCTTTCCAAAAGAAAGGGTGCTTGCATACGATGCACCCCACATACATAAAACAAGGTTTAACCATCCAGAAAGTAACATTACAACAGAAAATATTACCAGATAGCCACAGTGTCAAAGCTGGAATCTGAGACTTGGAACCAAAACGTCCAAAGAAACAAAACAAAAAACATTAAAAAGGTTTTGAAGTATCTTAGGCAAAGTCCAGGCTTAAGATGTTTTGGTATGACCTTAAAAAGGCTTTTTGTGCTTGAAAATCCAGAATTAAAACAATTTTGTCAATAAGGGTGGGCGACGGACGGTGATGTGAAACACTCATTGACAGTCATCACAAATGACTGCAAAGACTGCAGCTCTTGCTGCCAATAGTGGCAGAAACAATCAGGGCAAATACTTTTTCACAAAGGGTCAGGCGGGTTTCTGTAGCTTTTTCAGTTTATAAATTAAACCATCATTTAAAAACTGTATGTTTTATTGACTTGGGTTTCATTTGCTTAATATTAACATTTATTTAACAAATTTAAAAATAAAGTAAAACACATACACACATCAAAAAGGAAAAAAAGTGGACCCACGCAGACTGTCCAGTGTAGGTAAACTGATAAATATTTCTCACTTATTTATGTTCCATAATAATATCTATACGAAAATAAAACGACAAGCTACTATTACATATTCAGTTTCAGTGCGAACGTAATATCAGACGGAGACTCGGGAGTTAAATCCCCACAGTGTTTAGTTCTGCTTTTCACTCGTTGTAAATAACAAGCATTGACGCTCATGTTGGTGTCTAACGTTCAGGAAACTAGTTTTCTCTCCTTTTTTTATCTTTAATAACTACGATCAGTGCAGCTGCTACGGCCAGAAAACGCATGTAAATGTTAAATATAACACTACCTAATTTATTCGTTAATTTGACATAGCATAAACCCATCATATTATTTGATACGAATAAAAACAAAACCCCAAAGCAGCAGCATACTGACAGGTTAGCTCGTCTCTGCGAGCTTTCACATTACGAGCAGAAACCTCAAACTGACCTCAAAGCGAGATCCACCGCTCAAAAAGTTTAATTTTCCATCCCCGGTGTTTTTAAAAATAATATATAAATAGGGTTTTTAAAAGTGACCTAGCTGGGTAGCTAATGAGCTACATTCGGCTTCTCTTCCGCTTCTACCTTTTCTTCTTCTTTATTGGGTGAACGTCAAAAAAGCGCCACCAGCTGGTATGGAGTTTGGGTCTGGATTTAAATATTGCATTATCCATCCATTCTCTTCGGGGTCGCTGGAGTCTATCCCAGCTGTCTTAGGGCAATTTTGGAATCGCCAATTAACCCGCCCCCAACGTTTTCGGACTGTGGGAAGAAGCCAGAGAGAACCAACGCAAACAGGGGAGAAGAGTAAAAACTCCTGATGGTGGAAGTGAACTCAGGACCTTCTATGCTGTGAGGAAACAGTGCGAACCACTTAACTCCTGAAATATACGCAAATAATTATACAGTACAACACTTTAACCCAAAAAATTTTACTGAAGCAAAAATTGATTATTTAAAAGTAGTGTATTCATAAGATGATGAAACATAGTGAAACCACTTTGTACAAACTCGTTGCTTTATCGCCAACCAAAAAGCAGAAGCGGTACCAAAACACAGAAAATTAACAAATAAGAGTGGTGAACGTTCACAGGAACTCCCGCCTCCTATTTCCGTTTCTTGTGCAACCATGAAACGGCATCGACATCGAGCTGCGTCAAGCTATCAAAGTAACCGAGTGAAGACGCTGCAAAGAGGCGGAAGTTAAAATAATGGGATTTTTTTTAAAATGTATTGCACAATTTGTTTTGGCTGCAGAAGTCCCAAATTTTTGTGATAAAGAACATATTCCATTATCTTACTTAAATTAATTAACAGAAACCTGAAGTTTGTACCCTGTAAAATCTAAGACATTTTTACTGCTGACCCTAGTCCAATTCTGATATTTTTTTTACATTGTTACTTGCATTTATTTATCTGTTGCTTTTTCTCTCCCCTTGACAATCAGAGGACAAAAACCGCTATCAATCCGACTGATAAAAATCCAAATATATGTGCATATTATTTACTTTTTTAGAAAATAATCTACTTTATATGAAGCAATGCTTATCATTGCGATGGTTGTGAAAAGCTTTTAATTTGAACGTCTCACACGGAAGTGTTCGGTGTTACGTATTCATCTTGACATTTGTGTTTATACCTGGACGTAACAGACAGGCGGCAATATCCCCGAACTTCACTCAAATTTAACCTTTTGTTTAAGTAGTGATACTTTTTTATTTTATTATTTTTTTGCGGAGGAACCAGTGGGTTAAGCTGGTCTGTGCCAAGTTTTCTGCTTTGCTGGTGTTCATATTAAGAACAGCGTGTTGTTTTTGACGGAGGTCAGCGGCTTTCCAGTTGAAGCCAGTCCACTGACAAGATGCTTGCCTCGGGTAGGACCGTGTCCTCCCGGCTGCTGAGGCCAACCTCGTGGCTTCCTCTCCGGCTGAGCTCCGAGCGGACGGCTGCTAGCTCCCCGCAGAAAGGTAACAACAGCCCGGAGCAAAATGGGTAGCTTATTCCCCCAAGACCAACTAGCACGAAGCTAATCCCAAAGTGACGCAGTTTAGTAAGGAGGCAGGAAACTTCACAGCATCTGTCAACTGTCAGGTTAACTGACGATTTTAAAATCCATGTGAGGTCAGGAAAACCTAAAAAATACTAAATTAAAACACTAATAAACGGAAAGTTCACGAGCACTAACTGACTGGCACAAGATGAAGCAATCTTGTTAAATAACTGTTTTAAAAAGATTTTATGTTCTGATATTCTCTGTGTCACTCTC